AAAACATTCAACGGGAACATCTAGGAACAAATATTTGGACTTCCCATGAGATCACCGCTCTCACCACTTTTAGCAAACGTATATATGAACGAAATAGAAGAGACTTTCAAGACGGCACCTCTACAACCGACAGTGCTCATGCGGTACCTGGATGATTACTTCGCACTTTGGTCATATTGAAGAGAAAAACTAGAGGAATTTTTTGCAAGTTGTAAACCAGATTTATGCAAAAATTCAATTCACAATGGAAATAGAGGAAGGTGAGCGGTTACCGTTCCTGGACGTTGAAGTGGTTAGTTCTAATGGAACGCTGAAAAAGAAATTGTTCAGAAAGAAGTCCTATGCTGGGATAATACTCAACTTCCGGTCCCATCACAATTAAAGGCTAAAGATTGGACTACTGAGGAGCATGATCATCAGAAGCCTACGCCTGACGGATGCAAAATTGTGGGACGAGGAGCTGGATAAATTGACTGGGATCTTCCTCGGTAATGGCTACCCAAGCAAAGTAATACAAAGAAACATACGGGCCGGCTGCGGACAGAAATATATTGACGTAATATGGAGAAAAATTAAAACACAAATCAAGGAACATCTGTATGAAAATGGATACTGAAAGATCAGAACTAGCGGAACACATCGCACGGACTAGACACGAGATCAATTGGAATAATCATCACCTTTCCACCGAATTTCACATAGCCTTGCAACCTAATAGCAATTGCTATTAGGAATTGCTAATTAGAATGATAGTGGCGTACTTTTCACTTCGTTTGAGGAGGGTCGAAGGGATTCGTAGATTGGCCCAACTGGATGCTGCAGGAAGGTTGCTTTTGTGCGAGGAAGACTTCGGCTCACCGTTTTACGAACATGATGACTCCGTGCTGAGATTTCATCCATCTTGTGATGGACATCGTCAGAGCCAGGAACCATTATTCACGAAAAATCACCAAAAAACACTAAACCGAAAAAGATAGCCAGCTGAGATCCTACTTACTTCTTACCAACGCAACAAATCGGACTGTTCAGAAGTTTACTGTATATCATGCAGCGGCTGCGGACAGAAAAATATTGGCGAAACAGGAATCACGAATCAAGGAACATCTGCAAGAAAATGGATACTGAAATATCGGAACCAGCAGAGCACATCGCACGGAATGGACACGAGATCAATTGGAAAGCAACAGAAAGGAAAGCCCCATATAGTGACAACACAAGGAAGCGGAAGATTAGGGAGGCCATTGACATCCTTAAGGATACAATTCTAATGAACAGGAGATTGGAGGAAGGTAGAGTTAGCGATAACTTTGCCTACTGCCTAAGCAAAA